CGCACCCCCAGGCTCAGTACCCCCAGGCTCAGCACCCCCAGGCTCAGCACCCCCAGAAGTAGCACCCCGAGCAGGACCTGAGTCACCAGTGACCTCAACCGGCGCAGTCAAGGGAGGAGGGTCTACCTGAGACACACCTGAAGGAGCAGGACCGGGAGCGGGGAGGGGGTCTACCTGGGGAGCACCTGGAGCGAGGAAGAGCGGCGGGGGGGGGGAGCGGGGCAGTGCGGTAGGGGAAGAGACGGTAAAAGGGAACCGACTCGTCGAACGTGACGTCCTGAGACGCAAAGACACGGCGCGAGGTGGGGTGGTAAAACTGCCAACCAGGCGCGTCAGGGACAAAGCCAAGGAAGACACAGGGGACAGCGCGGGCGGAGAGCTTGTCCGCAGTGGTATCGCGGACAAAGGCACGAGCACCCCAGACCCGGAAACGCGACGCATCGCCCACCTTCCCCGTCCACAGCAGTGTGGGCGAGGTCTCCGGCAAGGAGATACGGGGCCAGAGGTTGAGCTGATGCGCGGCGTACCGGACCGCAAACGGCCACAGAAAATGGGGGGCAGCCGCATGGACCATGGAGGTACGAGCGACCTCCATGACTAAGCCAATGCGGCGCTCAGCAACCCCATTCTGCTGCGGAGAGGCCGGAAGCGTGAATGACTGGGTGATGCCGTGCTCCGCACAGTAGGCTGCCAAGAGGTCTGAGGTGAACTCACCGCCTCTGTCAGAGTGCAGACGCAGGACAGAAAAGTCCCGCTGGAACCGCTCGCGGAGCTGGAGACGAACAGCGCGGATCCAAGGGATCAAAACAGCAGGGACGTCTCCCTTGCTGCGCAAGGGGAAGACCGTAGTGTAACGTGTGTAGTCGTCGACGACCAGCAGGAATCACCGCTCGTGGCCCTGTCCACGGACGCGGGCTGGGCCCCACACGTCCAGGTGGAGAGTCTGCAGAGGAGCCTCTGTGGGAGGGAACGAGGAGGAGTGAGGAGCGGCGCGCTGCCGCCCCTCGACGCAAGGAATGCAGGGCGGCGCAGGCGAGGGAGGTAGGGCAGGCAGAGACCTGGGAAGACCAGAAACCAGGGAGCGAGAGTGCATGCTACGAAGGCGAGGCAGGGAGGGGTGACCAAGGCGGTGGTGCCACAGGAGGGTCTGGTGCGACAAAGCGCGACACTCGCAGGGGGCCGCCAGCTGACCAGACACAGACGCAGACGCAGCTACCTGACGGGACTCAGTGGTGAGTGTGTACAGACTCGAGCCAGGCGCACGGGTAAATGTGGCCAGGTGTCGGCCCGTCCGAGCACACGTACAGTGAGTCACTCGCTGACCCGCAGGAGTGAACTGGTGAACCCCCCCATCCTGGAGGTCAGCTCCACTCACCAAGTTCGTAGAGAACGAGGGGAGGTAAAGACCTGACAGCGAGCCAGACGGGGCGGCCGGACACGGCAGAACCGTGGAGTAGTGGGCAAGGACAGGACCCCCAGAGGGGTCCGCCAGGGAGACTGCAACTGGCCGACTAAGCGGCGTGAGTGTGGTGCAGTCGCGAAAGAAGGAGCGGGAAGCTCCTGAGTCAAGGGTGAAGGTGTGCAAGACCGCAGCAGGCGCAGTACCAGAGAGAGCAGACTCACCAGCACCTGGAGCCGCAGCCTCACCAGCACCGAGAGCAGGAGACGTACTAGCACCTAGAGCAGCAGCCTCACCAGTACCTAGAGCAGGAGACGCACTAGCACCTAGAGCAGCAGCCTCACCAGCACCGAGAGCAGCAGGCTCTATACCAGGGTCAGGCGGTACGCACAGGTAACAGGCACGGTCAGCACTAGTAGGCAATGCATACATGGCAGTGAGAATAGCATCATAGTCAGGAGCAAAGATATCACCACAGGGGAGTGGCGCCCGCCTCACATCACAGAGGAGAGGCGCCCGCCCCACAGCACAGAGGAGTGGCGCCGGCCTCACATCACAGAGGAGTGGCGCCCGCCTCACAGCACAGAGGCGTGGCGCCCGCCTCACAGCACAGAGGAGTGGCGCCCGCCTCACACCACAGAGGAGTGGCGCCCGCCTCACACCGCAGAGGAGTGGCTCCCGCCTTACACCGCAGAGGAGTGGCGCCCGCCTCACACCGCAGAGGAGTGGCGCCCGCCTCACACCGCAGAGGAGTGGCGCCCGCCTCACACCGCAGAGGAGTGGCGCCCTCCTCACATCACAGAGGAGTGGCGCCCGCCTCACATCACATAGGAGTGGCGCCCGCCTCACATCACAAAGGAGTGGCGCCCGCCTCACATCACAGAGGAGTGGCGCCCGCCTCACATAATGAAGCAAAACAGTTGCCTCGCCAGCTAAAGGGGGAATGGGCTGCTGACACGTGCACAAGATACAGTCGAGAACCTGGGAATCTGCGGAGAGAAGAACCAATCAAGTGAGTGAATTACGTCAGGCCAAGATACAGTTGAGAATACATTGAAGAGAGTTTCATATTATCTGTTCGTGAGATGAGTCCGCCCTTTATCGGGTTATAGAGAAAGGCAAGTCACTCACAACAGCAGCAAAGCAGTGACTACTTGCTCACAAGCACTCGCACTTCATTCTGCTGCGCTCTCCTGAAATCCCGAGTCGCCTCTTCTCTCGCTCATCTTTCTCCCGTCTGGACCCGTTTTTTTTTTCATGGCCCGCTTCGGAGTTCCGTATGCCGCACCTCCTTTGATTCGCTCCTTCTAAAATTCGCATTTTCTTCCTCCTTGAGGCCGTGCCGTGGCGTGCTTGTGCCCTTGGCGTGCTTGTGCCCGTGCCTCGTCCCTGCCATCACCCCGCGTCATTCACCCTCGCGATGATGCGACCATGCGACGCGAAGATGGGAGAGGAGGGGAATGGGATGAACCGATAGGAACGGGCTGGATTAGGCGCAGATTTCGTTAGCAGCTTAATAATACACCGCGATTAGACGAGAAAGTGCGCCGCAACTTTTCAAATACAAGGCGCTTGCGCCTATAGTACCGCAAATTTATCCGCCGCCGGCGCCGGCAGAGAGAGTTGAGGCAAGTCACTTCTCATAGCCACCGTACCCTTGTAACAATACGATTCCTCTCGCTCGCTTTTAGTGGTGCCTCAAGAATCGTACCGTCGTCGCCGTCTACTTGCATCTGCGCGCAATTTGTGCGTAATCCGCTCTTCCGCGCCATTCCGCCTTCCCGCCTCCGCCTCTTCTGCTCTCCGCCTGTCCGCCTGTCCGCCTTTCCGCCTCCCCCTCTCCGCCCATGCGCCGTGCGCATTGGAGTTCCCGGAGCTGCTGTCGCGACAGGCGTCAATCTAATCGCTCACGCTCGACGAATTCCAGGCGACGTTCGCTGGCCCGTCGCACGCCGTCGCATCCTTGCCCATGGGCGACTTCCTGCGATCCGTCTGGCTCGCCGAGGAGTTGCACATGCTCGCCGCCGCGCACGCCGTCGGGCCCGCGGATCCGCGCTCGCGCGACAGGGCTGCGGGGCTGCTGCGCGCAAGCTCACTGCGGTAGCAGAAGTTCAGTGCGGCGATCACTGGGGTCGCTGGGAGCGCAGGGAGCGCAGGGAGGGGGTCCACTGGGGTCGCTGGGAGGGTTGCAGGGAGCGATGGGAGTGCAAGGGGCGATGGGGACCCGCCCCTCCAGTGGTGGGATTGCCATGGGGATGGGCATGGGAGGGGGCATGGGCGGAGGCGTGGGCGGAGGCGTGGGGATGGGTGGGGGAATGGTGCCCACTGTGTATGGTGTGGGCGCAGGTATGGGCGCAGGTATGGGCGCAGGTGTGGGCGCAGGTATGGTCGCAGCGGGGCTGGACTTTTCCCGTACCTCTCCCGCTTCCTGAACTTTCACCCCCCCAACCGACGTGCATCACCTCCTATTCTCTCCATCGCCTCTCCCCCCCTTCCTCCCTCTCCCCCTCCCCTCCCTCCGGCTCACAGGAGCTAACCTGGTGCTGCGCTGTGCAGGGCCCTTCCAGCCAGAACCGCACTGCACCGTTTTGGAAGCCGCCATCCGCACCAAGGTGGGCGCCCTGCCTCTCGGGTGTCGTCCTCCTCTCTCCCCTCCCGCACCTGCATTGCGCCCCACACACCCTGCAGCCCCCCCCCCCACCCCCCCACCCTGCATCACTGCTCCCCCGCTCTACCCGTGACCTGCCCCCTGTGGTACCGCCATCGTGCTTCTCTGCCACGTCTGTGAGGCGCCTCAAAAGCCCTCCCTCTCACCCCCTTCCCCACCCCTTAGCCCCCCTCTTTCCCCCTCCTGTGTCACATGCTGTGCTCTCCTGTGTCACATGCTGTGCTCTCCTGTGTCACATGCTGTGCTCTCCTGCGCATGGAGGAGGGGGCGCGCATGGAGGAGCAACAGGCCGCTCTCAGCCTTCGGCCAAAGAGCCTGCGGTTGGGGAGAGAAGCACGTAGCTGCTGTGAGGGCGTGGGGGAGAGAAGCACGTAGCTGCTGTGAGGGCGTGGGGGAGAGGAGCACGTAGCTGCTGTGAGGGCGTGGGGGAGAGAAGCACGTAGCTGCTGTGAGTGAGGCGTTGGGGACAGAAGCACGTAGCTGCTGTGAGTGAGGGCATGCCTTCCCTTGCCTTGCCTTTCCATACCATGCCATACCTTGCCTTGCGTGAGTGTGCTGCACATATGCCCACATATGCCTACAAAGAGGGCGGTTCGGGCCAAATCTTTCCTCCCCACCCCGCCTCTCCCACCCTTGTCACATGCGCACGTCCCTCCCCACCGCGCCTCTCCCCACTCTTGTCACATGTGCACTTCCCTCCCCACCGCGCCTCTCGTCGAGACAGATGCGATAGGCAGAAGCCGAGCCGCAGCCCCAAGGACCAGTGCATGGAGATGGCGCTCACGCAGATGCTCGTGGCGCTAGATGCTCGTGGACGAGACAGCCACCACCTTCCCCGACAGCCACCACCTTCCCCGACAGCCACCACCTTCCCCGACAGCCACCACCTTCCCCGAGAGCTGTGACAAGGCGCTCGGCTCGTGCGCCGGGGCCATGTGGTCGTGCCTAACCCCGATGTGGAGGGGGGCAGGCACATTCTCGAGCATCATTTGCACAAGGTGCAGTCCGGTGGGTGCTGCATGCATGGGTGCATGCATGGGTGCTGCATGCGTGGGTGCAGGGAAGTGTGCTGCAGCACATTCAGCTGACTATGCACAACTTTGTTTCCTCCCTCCTCTCCTCCCTCTCACTCCCCCAATCCCATCACGCCCTTCCTCTCTCCTCCCCCCCCCTCCCAGACCCCCCTCCCAGACGACATGGGCGTGTCGTGTTGTGTGGGTGGTAGCTAGCGCGCGCCACGCCGGGCTTCAGCGGGGCAGGCCTCGCGAACCCGGTGAACGTGGCCGCACACATGCCGTCATTCCTCCGTTCTGCGTCACTCGCTGCCAAGGCTCAGTCGACTGAGTTTAACCGTGCGCGCGCGTATTCCCCCCCTTTCCCCCCGTGGTGCCCATCAGATCAGACGCGAGTATATGGCTGGTGCAGTTTCTCAAGGCCATGCGCGACGAGCGCGGAGGAGAGCTGCTGCCAGGCGCGCACCTGCTGGGCTTCCTGCGGCTGCTGCCGCCTTCTCCCGCCCCTGCTGGTCTCCCCAGCACGTCCGTGAGCAGTGTTCTCCACAGGCTCAAGCATTGGTTCTGGATTTTGGTATTTGTCTCTTGCTCTCACTGCCCTAGCTCACCCACTGCCATCTAGCCTGCTATAATTCTTACTTAGGAGAAAAATGAAAAGAAGAGAAGGAACCAGACCTCTGTCTAGCTGCTGCTGCTTCTCTCCACTCCACCCCACCTATGCACCCCTGCTGATTTCCCTCTCATTCTCGCCCGTTCACAGGCATCTGTTACTTGTGTCTCCCTCTCCCTCTCCTCGTCCCCATTCTGGTCTGGGCCCACCCACTCCAGGCGGTGGCGGCACCTCTTCTGGCAAACGTAACAACGTGCGGCTGAACCAGCTCTCCAACACAGAGATGACTTTTGAGTCGAATCAAAAGTCATCTGAAGCAGCTCTCCAACATTGGCAGTCACAAGGTGATGCGTACGTACATGCTTCTTGCTCGGTTGGTGTACGCTTTTCATTTGAAACTTTAGCCATGCCCTGGAGTTACTTCATTTGTTTCTATTGTAAGCCATGCTATGCTAGCCTAGCCATACTTGTCTCTATTGTGAATATACGGTACTTCATTTAACTCGGTGATTTTTTCTACAATACATCGCCGTATCTTCAGTGTGGCAACTCAACCGCATCTTGGCCACGGGACTAGCTTCTGCCATTATGAGATGAGGTCACAAATGGTACTGTACAGCCATCAATGTCTTAGAGGTGGAGGGAACTCGTGCATCGTCACCCGTGCAAAACCATATTATATTACAGCATTCAGATCGTCACCATATTGCGGCAGTGCAGGTACAGAGCTACTAATTTGCACGAGAGGAAGTAGTTGTGTGTTTTTTCTGTTGATAATATAATTACTACCACACTTTGCATATCGCTATACCCTGCCTTGGCCTGGTCCAAGGTGAAGCAAAAAGAGGAGTACGGTACTTTTGTGATGCTATTGCTAGAAAAAATGTGGACGGTGCTTATATATTAAGCGATGTGTTGGCATATTCTGGTTCTTGAAACATTAGGATTACAGGTAGCCCTCATACACATACATCTAGTGTCAAACTATGCATATTGTGTTTGTGTAGGCTGCTAGTGGGGTAGCCCATATGGGGTACAACCCAATGTTAGGGTTAGCTTATGTACCCAACTCTTGATCAATGCATTCATTCTTGTCTCTAGATTCTGACATGGTTTCAGAGCAGTAGGTCCGTAGGACCGTTTTTTTTTCGGGCCCACCTACCGCTACCCCACGCCTGTGCCTCTGCCTGTGACGTGCTGCGCTGCGCGCGCCGTCTGCCTGTAGCCTACTGCCTGCTGCCTACTGTGTTGTCTGCTGCTGCTACCGCGCAGACCTAAGTAACGCACGCTGCCCGCTGCTGCCTCAAGCGTCGCCCTCGCTGCTCGCGCCGCTCTGCTGCCCCTCACACGCCGTCAGCGCAGCGCACAGCCCCCAGCGAGCCGCGTGCAGCCCCGTCAAACCGCGTGCAGCCCCGTCGAGCCGCGCGCAGCCCGGATTTGCCGCGCGCAGCCCCCGCCGAGCCGCGCGCAGCCCCGTCGAGCCACGCGCAGCCCCGTCGAGCCACGTGCAGCCCGTTTTCTGCTGCGCGCAGCCCCGTCGAGCCGCGCGCAGCCCGTTTTCTGCTGCGCGCGGCCCCGCCGAGCCGCGCGCAGCCCGTTTTCTGCTGCGCGCGGCCCCGCCGAGCCGCGCGCAGCCCGCTGCTGCCGCGCGCGACCCCCCCCGAGCCGCGCGCAGCCCCTGCCGAGCCGCGCGCGGCCTGCTGCTGTTGCGCGCAGTCCCTGCCGAGCCGCGCGCGGCCAGCTGCTGCTGCGCGCGGCCTGTTTCTGCCTCCCGCAGCCCGCGCTCGGCCCACAGCAGCCCCGCGCGCTGCCCTGCATAGCCTGCAGCTGCATCGGCCCCGACCTTCCGCTGCTGCGGCCCCTCGCTGCTGCTGCCGAGGCTCCGACCTGCCGCTGATGCGGCCCCCACTCTGCGACTGCCGCTGAAGCGGCCCCCCACCCTGCAGTTGCTGCGGCCCTACTCTACTGTCGCTGTTCCGGCCCCATCGCAGCTGCGGTCGTGCGCCTACTCGGCCCTGCTCGCCCGGCGAGCACCTGCCCTTCCAGCCTTTGGTGAGCACCTGCCTGCCTGCCTGCCTTTCGGCCTGCCTGCCTGTCTTTTTGCCTGCCTGACTGCCTGCCTGCCTGCCTGCCTGCCTGCCGGCCTGTCTGCCTGTCGGCCTGCCTGCCTGCCTGCTGGCCTGCCTGCCTGCCTGCCAGCCTGCCTGCCTGCCTGCCTGCCTGCCGGCCTGTCTGCCTGTCGGCTTGCCTGCCTGCCTGCTGGCCTGCCTGCCTGCCTGCCTGCCTGCCTGCCTGCCTGCCTGCCTGCCTGCCTGCCTGCCTGCCTGCCTGCCTGCCTGCCTGCCTGTCAGCCTGCCTGCCTGCCTGCCGGCCTGTCTGCCTGTCAGCCTGCCTGCCTACCTGTCTGCCTGCCTGCCTGCCTGCCTGCCTGCCGGCCTGCCTGCCTGTCTGCCGGCCTGCCGCGCCTGCCCTGCCCGAGCTGCTGCTGCTACTAGCTATTAGCAAGGGACCAGATGCAGCTCCAGCGACGCTCACGCGAGTCTCTCACGCCCCAGCAGCTTAGTGAGTGGTATACTAGTTGGGGCTGTCGCGGTAGCCGTCGTAGCTGTCGCCCTGGAGCTGGTCAGTTGGGGGCCTCTAGCAGCGGCCAGCTGCAGCTACAGCGGCGTCCACGCGAGACACTTACGTCTCGGCAGCTCGAGGAGTGGTACGCTCAGAGTAGAGGGTCTTTCAGTCCAGTGCGCTGCCGGTACGTCATTCGCACAGGTGATCGAGCTGGTCAGACCTGCGGGACGCCTGGTCACACACAGTCCCGCTGCTTCGCCCGCCTGAGCGACGCCTGGCGTACCGAGTTTGGTGACGAGGCTGAGCTCCCCACCTGGCTGGAGCTGCTTAGCCAGAGGATAGATATCTTTGCTCTTGACTATGATGCTATTCTCACTGCTATGTATGCATTGCCTACTAGTGCTGACCGAGCCTGTTACCTGTGCGTACCGCCTGACCCAGGTATAGAGCCTGCTGCTCTCGGTGCTGGTGAGGCTGCTGCTCTAGGTGCTCGTGCGTCGACTGCTCTAGGTGCTGGTGAGGCTGCTGCTCTCGGTGCTACTGCGTCTTCTGCTCTAGGTGCTGGTGAGGCTGCCGCCCCAGGTGCCTGTGAGTCTGCTCTCTCTGGTACTGCGCCTGCTGCGGCCTTGCACACCTTCACCCTTGACTCAGGAGCTTCCCGCTCCTTCTTTCGCGACTGCACCACACTCACGCCGCTTAGTCGGCCGGTTGCAGTCTCCCTGGCGGACCCCTCTGGGGGTCCTGTCGTTGCCCGCTACTCCACGGTTTTGCCGTGTCCGGCCGTCCCATCTGGCGTGCTGTCAGGTCTCTACCTCCCCTCGTTCTCTACGAACTTGGTGAGTGGAGCTGACCTCCAGGATGGGGGAGTTGACCAGTTCACTCCTGCGGGTCAGCGGGTGACTCACTGTACGTGTGCTCGGACGGGCCGACACCTGGCCACGTTTACCCGTGCGCCTGGCTCGAGTCTGTACACACTGACCACTGCGGCCCCTCAGGTAGCTGCGTCTGCGTCTGCGTCAGGTCAGCTGTCGGCCCCCTGCGAGTGTCGTGCTTTGTCGCACCAGACCCTCCTGTGGCACCACCGCCTTGGTCACCCCTCGGTGCAGCGCCTTCGTGGCATGCACTCTCGCTCTCTGGTTTCTGGTCTCCCCAGGACTCTGCCTGCCCTCCCTCCCTCGCCTGCGCCTCCTTGCATTCCCTGCGTCGAGGGGCGGCAGCGCGCCGCTCCTCACTCCTCCTCGTTCCCTCCCACAGAGGCTCCCCTGCAGACTCTCCACCTGGACGTGTGGGGCCCAGCCAGCGTCCGTGGACAGGGCCGCGAGCGGTACTTCCTGCTGGTCGTCGACGACTTCACGCGTTACACCACGCAGAGCCTGGGGGTGCGGAGCCTGGGGGTACTGAGCCTGGGGGTGCGGAGCGTGAGTGTGAGGTGCCTGGGGGTGCTGAGCCTGGGGGTGCGGAGCGTGAGGGTGCGGAGCTTGGGGGTGCTGAGCCTGGGGGTGCGGAGCGTGAGTGTGAGGTGCCTGGGGGTGCTTGTCGTGAGAATTAGGCAAAAGAGAGCGGTTCGACTAGCAGGCAGTTGAGTACAAATAGGAACCCTAGATTGGGCTGTACTCGCTATAGAGTACCCCACTGCAGGCTAGACAAATATAACATTCTGACACACCCCCATAGCCAAAGTGGGGTGTAATCAGCAGAGCAAGCAAAGCAGTACAAGCTCAGGGTGGATCACGATGTCACCACACATTCTGAGCACAAGTTCAAGAAGCAACAGTTTATAAGTTATGAGCAAAGCTAGAGGCGGTCACAGAGGACAAATGAGGAGGAGGAGGGCTGGCGAGAGGAGAAAGGAGTGGAGGCGACGACTGAAGCTGCAGACACACGGGCATCAGACGGCTCTGGCGCAACGCTAGTGGCTACCGGAAGCAGAGCCCCGGACTACAGGGGTAATAGTCGCTGCGGAGGGTGCAGCGGACCCACGGGCGACAGGTGCAGCCGGCTCTCTGAGCTACCGGAGGTCCGCGGAACCCCGGAATACAGGTGCTGCGGACGACACGACGGCAGTCTCCGCTCAACCTCCCCCAACAGTCCCACACCCCTCGACACACACCCCTTGCTTCACCCCTAGCTCCACTCCCACGGTACCCCCCCTTAAACCCCAAACCCTAGACTCCCACACACCACCCCCCTCAGCGGCAGCTGCAGTAGAGGGAGACTAGGGAGGAGGAGGAGTAGGTAGAGTAACGCACAACCGACACCCCCACAGCCGCCACCCCCACACTCCCCACCCCCAAACCCTAAAACGGGCGAAAGGGAGAAGGAGCGCGGGGGACGGCGAGGGGGAAGGCGCGCGACCCCCAGGGCGCCACCTCTGGGCAGCGGGGGCCGCGCGCGGCTCCCCAGGGCGCCTCGACGGGGCAGCGGGGGGCCGCGCGCGGCTCCCTAAG